TTTTTGTTTTCTTGTGTCATTTTGCCTGAATCTATACGTGAATATCGAGTCAACTGAAGAATCAAAATATCAAAGTACATCTACTCACAACCTCAACAATTCCCTTTAAAAAGTCATCGTCCACCTGTCAAAACACAAACTTTTCACCTAGACACTTTCAAACTAAAATCTTCATGATACTAACCATGAAGATGAATAAAACCCGAGTTATTCCTCTTCTTATTCTTCTTCTAACGAGCCAAATCACTTATAGCCGTCTGATTTCAAATGATGGGCAAATTATGATGATATCCGACGGTGGTGATGAGCCCAAGAGCGGGCCGGGTTTTCTTGAATGGGGTTTTTCGACCAAAATCGAGACTTGTGAGCCGACTTACGGGTTTTTGCCGTGCTCGAGCAATGCTTGGGGGCTTCTTTTCCTTATTGTTGTGTATGAGATTTTGCTGTCTATTGGGGGAAGATATGTGGGGATGGGCTCTGAGTTGTTTTTCCAGATGATTGGGCCTGGAATTTTCGGAGCCAGCTTGTTTCAGTTATTGGGCACCATACCACAAATTGTCTTGCTTCTTGGTGAGTTCATGTTTTTTTTTTTTCCGCCTTTATTTTAATTACAACTTTTTCACATTTTTCATTTGGGAAAAACAATTACTCCTGAAATAAATATGCATGAAGAAGATTTTTTTATAAGTACGAGTCGTGTTGAATGATTTTCCAGATTGGTTACGGACGAATTTATTATTATTTTACTTATAATATCACTAAAACTACTAATCCTAATTTTGCCAAACATAATTCGGTAAATCCAGGTTAACTGCATAAATAATTTTGAGAGGCTGCTAGACTTTTTTTAATGTTTTTTTTTTTGGTAATTAATTTTGTGAAATATTTTATTTTTACTTTACTCATGTTTAAACTTTAGTCCTGTGATGTAGATCGATTGTTACAATGTTGAAAAGTCTAGTTGACCATTCTTTTAAATATGCTATCAAATAAAATGTGATTATTACTTTAGATCCACTCGAGGAATATGTACGTAAACAAAATAAATAAATAATTACCACTTGTCTTTTGTATTTGGTTCCTAAACAGCTTAGTCAGAATTCAAATTCGTAGAATCTTGGAGGCAGCAAATTCTGCCCTATCGTTGTCGTTCTTTTAACATCACACACATTACACATACTCGCACTTTTCACTGTCTTGTTTATTTATTTACACTTTTTTCTTTTGATTTTATTTTTAAAAAAATGATTCTTATTAATTCAAGTTATTTAATAAATTTAAAAGTTATAATTTTGAAATAAATCATTATTATATTTAAATAGATTAGTAATAAATATATGAAATACTATTATTTAAAATATGACTAAAAAAATCAGAAATCTTCAATAATTATATATAAAAATATTTCTTTTTCCTTGTGGCCCACATGTTACCTACTTATTTATTTTAAATTACATTTTTTTATATTTTAATTAACATTTCATTATAAATCTATGCTCGTTGGTTTTCAAATTAAAAATTTAGTATATTTATCACTACAGTTTATAAAGCTTCATCCATTATCCAACGGCGGGTGGAAAAGCTGTATTGAAAGCTGCCTATTTTAAGGTTTTTAAGTTTTTGTGAGCTTTTACATTTCAAACCTGCCCAAATAAAGCTACTGTTAAACTTTATCAAAGATGCTCCAATGCCAGCTGAAATATCTAAAAATATGTAATTGAGGAGACACATTTTCCACAAAGGAGATAGGAAAAATGAATAAGATTTTTCTCTTTAGAGAAAAAAAGAATAGTCAAATGAAACCAGATGTTAATAAAACCTGTAGCCAAATGTAGGAAGCCAATATATGTGACCCTACCTTGCAAGTTGCAATTAGAAAATGCCAATGAGATGTGGACAGAACCAACTTATATATATAAGCAAATGTGACCCCACATAAATTAAAATTAAATAATATATATGATTATAAAATTATAAAATATGTCCAGCAACTATATACGATAAATTGGTCTAAGTAGTATTCGATATTAAAAACTGCAAATAATTAAATAGTGAATATTTTTGCCTAATCGCATGAGGTAGTNAGTGTGTTACTGTTTGTTCTTACCACCCATAACATTAAACTCCAACAAATGTACATGCGGTGATCAAGATATTACAAGTCTAGGGGGAACAAGAGCATCTTTTCCCCAGAAAACCATAATCGGCTACAACACACAACAGAAAATAAAACAGCAACAACATAGATATTATATTATCCAAACCTAACCAGCTAAAACAAAGAGAAAACACAAGAAGACAGACTATCCACTAGAAAATAAATGTCGTCAGCAACCATAGAAATATGACCTGCAAACTTTGCCTGCTTGTTGAGTTTATGCACCAGATTCTTGTCAGACAGTGAACAGTGGATATCCTTCCATCCCAGAGCTAAAGTTTCCTCCAACCCCCGTTTTTATGCAACCATAATTATATTCAGGTTTGGTCTGTGGGTCCATAGTCTTAGACCATTCCTTCACTAATTGTTGGTTGCACCAAGCTGAGCTTCTGACCACCAACTTACCTCCCAGGATGAATGGGGCACTGACAGTTAAACATCTCTGCCCTACCCCCTTGGAAAATTCACCTTAAGATTTGAGTTGTGGTGTCCCCTTGCCTCTGAATTTATCTGGTTGTGCTCATTAGCAATTTGGAACTCCACCCATTCTTTGACAACACCTTCAACCATCTGCTTTTCTCCCCACCATTCTTTATTAAATTTCCAAGAATTTCTAGTCTTCCACAACCACCATAAGAGGTATGTGGAAAGACTGACCCTATCAATGAAATTAGAAGTTTTCTGTGAAGTGCATATGTCTTGCCACCATTCTTGGAAGTTGGACTTCTCTCTTTCAAAGCACTTCCACTGCAAGCCGGCCAATTTCCAACATTTTACTGCTCTTGGGCAGTGGAAGAAAATGTGATCCCTGTCCTCCTCCACTTCTTCACACATTTCACAAATAGGATCCACAAGTATGTGCCTTCTCCTCAGCTGTCTATTAGTGCTCAAGAAGTTGTACCAACTCCTCCACAAGAAATTTTTGATTTTTGATTTTTTTTTATTGGAAGAGTCCATGTCAATTTCCACACTTTGTCCTGCACAGCTCATTACTGCTCTCAGCAACATCCTGGGCCAATAAGCTCTGTTCCCTTAAGACATTATATGCAGATTCCATAGTATATTCTCCATCCTTTGACCAATGCCACAGAAATCTATCTTTAATACCCACCTTACTGATAGGGATTTGTAGGATATTTTGTGCATCTTCAGGATGAAAGGACTGGAGAATAAGCTCCTTATCCCACTCTTTTCCTCCTTCCAGCATTAAATCCCTGACTTTCATTAGCCTGTTCTCATCCCCAGCAAACTGTTGTCTTGGCTTGAACTGAAAGTCCCTAGGTATCCAAGGAGACTCCCATACCTGAATGGCACCACCATCACCTACCTGGTATCTCCCTCCTATCCTCAAGACATGCCTGCAGCTTAGCCAACTTTTCCAAAGCCATGAGTCTTGGCTTTTTGGTTTCACATCCAGCAGCTTCCCTTTACTAAAGTATCTTCCCCTCATCACTTTGCTAACCAGTAGGTTGGGTTTTGTCAAGATTCTCCAGAGTTGTTTCCCAATCAGAGCCTCAATATAGGTTCTCAATTCTTTGGATCCAAGGCCTCCTCTGTCTTTGGGCTTTGTTAATGTTTCCCAAGTTGCCCAGTGAATTTTATCGTTGCATGTCTCATTCTTCCCCCACCAGAAGTGGGCCATTTCCCTGCAAAGATCTTGACAAATAGATGATAAAAATTAATGAAAATTTTGTCATAGATAAAAATATCTTTTACTTTGTAACAAATAAGAAAAACCTGAGTGATGAACTTTCTTCGAGCTAGTGTTTGTATACGCTTACGGATGATTTAGAGATCATGTCTCGTGTGTAACTAAATTATTACATGATAGTTTTCTAGTTAGTTCACAACTATTTGATGTAGGGTGTTGCATACTTAATTCCACATCGGAAAATTAAAGGTTCCAAGTCCAATATATAAGCTTGGTGGGCTACTCCTTCTATTGCCGATTGGTTTTAGAATTGAACCCCATTTGGGCTTGTATGTTGGGCTTGATGGAGAACTGGGTTTTGAGTTGGTCCTAACATTTGATAATGTAAAGATTTGTGTTCTTGCATGAAAAACTTATAACTTGATACAAAATGGAACTTTTGCCCCATATTACGAATTCATGAAGATAATCCATTTTTTTATTTTTATATAGTTTCGGCACTTTCGGGCTCCGTGGAAGCTGCTCAACAACGGGCCACGCTCGGGATGGGATTAGTCGCAGGGTCAACTGTTATGCTTTTGACTTTAGTTTGGGGCATTTGTGTTGTCCTAGGAAGCTATGATTTGTCAGAGGCCCCTACTGATGATGATAAATCTGCAAGCCCGAATAAATTCTCAAAAGGTGATTACTAACACTTCTTAATTAATTAATCTTTCTTGATTATTGGTAAATCATATCATAACACACTCAAATTTCACTGCTCTGTTAATGTTAGCAGCTGGCAGTAATTATGGCGTTATTACAGATGCTGAGACGAGCTACACTGCTCGGCTGATGTTGATAACGTTGGTCCCGTTTTTCGTACTTTTACTAACAAAAGTTTTCAGCTCGTCTAATGGGAGACGCGTGATTATTCTTATTGCCTTCATCATCACTGTCGTTTTACTAGTCGCTTATATCTTCTATCAGGTAACGATGTTTTCATAATTTTTTTCAACGAAACAAATGCACGACACATTTGAACTTTTTTTTTTGTTTTGTACAGATATTCAGGCCGTGGGTTCAGAACAGAAGATTCGAGTATTTGATGAACAAATATGCCAAAGACAAGCTTCTTCGACTCCTCTCAAGAAATGGCAAACCCGACACTAGCAAAATACAACGGTAAGATTCTTTTCTATTTATTTTTTTTTTGTCATTTTTCGACCGACTGGGAAAAAGAAAAAGTCTGAATTAAATTCTCGCATNGTTTTCGCAGATTGTTCGATAGAATAGACAAGGACAGTAGTGCATCGGTATCAGCATTGGAGCTCAGAGTTCTTCTCCTAGGATTGAAATTAGACGATGATTTGAGCACAGAAAGAGATGTCCAGAATGTTCTAGAATCTTTTGATGTATCGGGAGATGGCCGTATTACTCGGGACGAGTTCATCACAGGCATGACTAAATTAGTCTACGACTTGTTTGACCAAACTCCCGGTCTCGTTAAAGTGTCCGGCGGTAGCAGTTCCCAGGTAAAAGATACAAAAATGTAGCGATGAAACATTTTTATTATTGTTAATCAGAATTAATTTTGAAAAAGGTAGTATGATTAGTTGTTAGTGATATTTGGGGTTTATATTGAAGTAATATTTAAAACAAAATAATTAAAGTTGATTTAATGTAAAAGTAGAAGATTGATGATGTGGAGTGAAGGTTAGTTAAGATTATGTGAATGGATGAATAATGAATTAAAGTTAATGTAATGTATAAGAATGATTGAATGTTATTATTTAATTATATTGATAATATTGATGATAGTGAGATTGAATTAAAACTGAGTTAAATCTTAAATATAAATTGATTATAGCTTCTGATCGCATAAAACCGAATTGCAGAATCAATTGCAGCAGAGTTTATTGGCTAACAGCTCGGGAGTAAGCCGAAATTCGAGCATTAGTTCCTGGTTGAATTACTTGAAAGCATTTTCTTTCGTAATATTCGGCACGGTTTTGCTTTGCGCGCTTTCCGAGCCTCTAATCAAAAGCGTCGTGGGTTTTAGTCAAGCCTCGAATTTATCCTCATTCAGCGTCTCGTATTTGGCCATACCTTTTGCTATGAACTATGGAGTTGCGGTTAATTCGATTGCTTCCGCTAGACAGAAGTCGCAAAAATCGATTTCCTTAACACTTTCTTCTGTATGTAGTACACATTAATCTTTCGATTAATTTCATTTTGTCG